TAAAAAGTAAAACATATTATATGTATATTATTTTTTATAAAGTTTTTATAAAAAGGAAAATTATATATGTTGTCATATTTAATAGTTTCTATTAAAATATGTGTAATGCAACTTGACAAAATGAAATTTAAAATTAAATAATACGTAGAGAGAGAGAGAGAGAGAGAGAGAGAGAGAGAGAGAGAGAGATGAATAAAATTATATTTTGCATTCGATTTCAATTGTATAACTTAAACACAATTTTGAACTTTTTTTCCTATCATAAATTTAATTTAATTTAGTTAAATTAAAAATTTTTCTTTCACATATAAAATTTATTACTGATATTCTAAATTACGCCGATCATAAAAATGTAACGTTGAGTAAAAAATCCCCTTGATATTCCATTCATGACTCCGAATGTGATAAAATAATCGTGAATGTAATATAACCGTATTTGTCGGTTTAAAAGTAATAAGCGTGTAGCAGCGTTTTTTTTAAGCGTTTATTCCATTGGTTTTTTTTTATTAAAATATGAATTTTACTTGACGTTTGTTAAAATAAATGTTAATGTCGCATCATATATAAACTTTTATATAGCAATTATATAGTCTTTTATAGTAATTAATATGTAACATGGGAAACGTTAATAACATAGGTATATTGAAAATACCATTCATACGCTTTACTTAATCCAATTCAAATTTGTAGAATGTATATATTATTGAAATATTTGAAAATAGAAATGTAGTGTCATTTGCAAAATATAACTGTTACAAATCAGCGCATACTATATTCCATAACATATAATATTTCTGATCACATGAATGAAAATACGGTGGCATACATATGTTTAAATATTTCATTTATTATTAAATAAATAAGATATAGATTTTTATAAATAGTTGCATTGTTATAAATGTTGCACGAGCAGAAATTTTAGAATTAAAAAATTTAATGTTATTCGTTAAAAGAGAGGAATATAATAATCCGTGATAGATTAGATTAAGTATTTGGGTTATATGATATAATTTAATTTTTTATGATTTTAAAACATTTGCGTTCACGTATGTTTATTATTCAAAGAGTCAACATTTTGAGACATGAAACATTAAGTGGACGTCACAAAAATCAAAAGAATAACCGCACCACTACACACCTCATTCAAGTTTCAATGATATTTTATATTTTAAGATCTCGCGCGCATTATGGATCGATATTAACAGCGTCACTGACAAAATAATAGAAATCTCTCATTAAGCAATAACGTGGCATTTGCTAGTATAGTTTACCTCGTATACAAAGCCATTATAAACATTATTTGGATTGTTTGCGAGTCAACAGGTTATAATGGCATTGTTCGTACGGAGTATCTTTGCCGCGCGCATATTGCCTTTATGCCAACTGGGACTGAATTATCAACGCGTAGCCATGCAGAAATTTATACGGTACATACAGAAAGCATTGTATCACCGAGAGAGGGAAAGATCGTACTACGACAACGTTTGCATTATCTGTGAAAAATAATTGCGCTTAAAGAAATTAATTGACGATGTAACTGTACAGTAGTTGAAAGACACGTCGACTTTTTCAGGCATTTGTCAGAATTTTCTCTATGTTAAATAACCTTTTAATTTTTAATCGAAGGAATCTTAAAAGGAAAGGTCAATTTTAAATGTCGCAGAGTTTATGCGGAAATGGAGCGTGACAGTCAGGATATTCAGTACATTTCCGCTATTAAATAACTCGTATTTGGCATAATGGTGTATTCTCTATTGTGTATCAAATAACAGACGATAATAAGCTACTTGCACCATTTAGACCATTTAACGAAATAACGGTATAAGATGTATTTCCTCTGTTTTAAAGAGAGAGAAAAATAAATTTCACAGAATCTGTCTATTGTAAAATCCAATTATTTCATCGCAGCATTCTCTACGGTAAAGAAAAGTTAGTCGCGTTGAAATAATTGTGCATGAAAACTGGTATATTCCAAAATGTTATTTTTATCGGGTCTCATCGCTATTCCGCACAGTAGCTCAATTATCGTAATTTCACCTTAAATCGTGGTGTGCACGGAGATATCTCGTGAATTTGCGCAAATCTATAAAAACGATATGATGCGCGACCAGGTTGGGTGAAGCGGGGTGTAGAAATTGAACGATAAGGGGAGGGGGAGAGAGAGAGCAAAAGAAAGAGAGAAAGAGGAGGAAGGAAGTTTGAATAAGAGAAAATAGAGTTGGGTCCCAGCCAGGCCCGTGGGTATAGCCGATGATTACGACGTGGATTACGGTCGAGGGGATTCTTAGGTAACTTCCGCCCTAACGTTACCCTACTTGAGTAGCGATACTTTCGATCCCGGATTTTCTCGATTACCCAAAGTCGAATTTCATCTCACGGTGTTGTGCGCTCTTGCACGTCATGCGATAGGATCTCCGCAAAGCGATTTCACCCGTGTACATCTTATCCCGTGAAACGAGCCGCCGTAATTTCGTGGCAAATATGCAACGCTCGTGAAATTGAGATGAGAGCCAAACGCACTGTAGATCATTCATTGCTATGAAGATCTTTAATCTGGCGCAGAACTTCTCAGATCTTCTATATTTGTTGATTTTTTAATAAAAATTTCTGTCGTCTCACGTTAAATTTCTTACTAAAAAAACAGGATTGTCATAAAATTAGGAATTAAGGCAGTCAGAGAAATCAGGGAAAAGTTAGGGAATTTTGCAAAATTTTTTAGAAAATTAAAATTCTTAGCTTTAAAGAAGTTTAATGTAAGGTACACATCACACTTACGCAGTTTTGGAATATTATTAATAATTAAATACTTAATAATTATAAATTGTCTCTCAACAAAATATTTAATTTTCCAAATTGGGATGAAAATACAAAAATTTTTTAATATTGAAACTGAAGGAAAATTATGAAATTTTGTCTGGAAATCAGGAAACTGTTATGGAATTTCAGAATGAGGAATTTGAGATGATTGTATAACCGGTGATATTTAATCTTTTGACATTCTAGTTCTTTTTCTAAGTCAATTGACCTCCAGAAAGTCGATACCAAGTCCATTTTTGATCTACTTTGCTCGTGTCTCGAGATAAAGTGCATCGCAAGCAATCGTCTTTACATTGGCAAGATTGGCTGCATTTTAAAATCTCCGCAAGAAGCGACTTGCCCATCGCGTCCGGCCAGCCAGTTAGCCAGCCAGCCAGCCAGCATTCGTCTCCGTTCTTCGTATTTTTCCTTCCGTTTCTTTGTATATGCGGCTTAACGACACCACTTTCAGGATAAACCCCGGCAAGCTAGTTCGTTTAAGACTAAAAAGCCCCTCCTTCGCGTACTAATTACTGCGAACCGTCCGGCTTGGTCTCTCGGTCCTCCTCTTGCATCGCTCTCTCCTCTCCGGGCAGTAAAATAAGAACACGGACTCCGCCCTTTGTAACGCTCGTTTAGACGAAATTCTAGGCTTTTCCGCGTGTACCATGAACATACCCCTTTCCTATGACCACGTTACAATGGGCTTAGGACTTAGGAATGAACAATGCGGAAAATTCCAATGAAAAAAAAAAAGTAGAATTCAGCGAACACGCTGATTCTGTGAGCTGATTACATTTTTGCGGATGTTTCGACGGCGAGTACTGAAACGTATTTTAAAACGTATATCCTCGCGAATGAGAATAGTTTGGAATGAGAATAACCGATTCGTCTATGTGATTTCAAAATTATTCTCGGTCTCATCCTTTACGCGTGTAATACAAGGAGGAGAATTGTCTCCCACTCACTCATTTCATCAAGTCATTCCGTAATCGATCTTGTTCCTCGTAAAAATTTCGGCGAGCGTGTTTGGTGATTCGTAAGAAACGAGCTTACCAAGGCATCCACGATTGTGTGTCCCGCAATCCTGAGAGCTGCAACGGCGCGGCGGAGGGAAATCTCGCGAAATGCACCGGCAGCTCAATTCGCTAGTCCTGTATTCGCCCCGTGCGATTGCGCTCGGCATCGCTAAAGCGATTACGCTTACGCTTAATAAAACAACAGTCGGATGCATTTAACGAGACGCTCTGCCGCTGGCGCGGTAATTTTCCAGGTAGCCTCCCCGCCTTCCGTCTCATCCCCATGCTCTTCTACCACTATCCGCAATACTCTTGAAGGCGGATTTACACTGTTCATTTTTCATGATCGTCCTAACTGAATCGTTTAAAGTAAATAAAAAATACCAGTGATGAGTTGTCGTAATCCTATATTAATCCTATATTATACGTTTATTTAATGAGAGGTAATTATTTATTGTTTGATCCTCCGGAGGGCTTGATGATGGGTTTGTTAGATTCACTCGATTATTATAAATCTCTTTATCAAAAATGTCGAACAATTCAATTAAATTTTCTTCATATTACATTTACAAATTTCGATTATTCTTATTAAAATGTATTTTAATATTCATGCCTTTTATTCTATTTAAATTTTGGTTCACGTAAATATTAAAGGATCAAATTTAAATCAATTTCTTGAGTTAAATAAAATCTTGTTATTTTTAACAAGTGCGTCAAAATGTGTTATTTTATTATAAAAAATGTGATTAAAAACAGCCACACATCTAATTAACTCATTTCTGCAGCTGAATCACTTAATTTGAAAGTAAACAGCGTTTATATTAATATATAAACACTGTTTATATTAATATATAAACGTGTATATGCACCTAATAAATAATAAACTAAATTTCATTAAAATTTAATACATTTCTGAAATTGAATTGTTTAATTCTATTATTTTAGTTAAATTAACGACATATTAGGAAATGGCGGCGACCTATAGAAATTATTAAAAATAACTCAAATTGGGTATAATCATAATTATACATTATATATTTAACAATATTAAGTTAGTTATAAATTCAACAGTGTTTCTTGTAATTAATTAGTTTTTCAATTAACTTCAATTAAATAGATCTTATATAGACAGTAATAATAAACTGTGTTGATTTTCGCTGAGAAAAATTACAATAAATCCAAAATATTAAATCGAATTTAATAAACGAACAAACGAACAAACGAACAAACGAACAAATCTCTTGGTTTTATTCATTAGCTTCGCATGAGATTCTCTCGAGACACTCGTCGAAACGATGAGCGTAAATTCGCCTTAACTAGTATATTCGTCGTGTATCCCCTTCATCCCTTCGCCGATTCCTACTTCCGCAAATGGCACGTGCGTGCTCAAGAGCACTCCGTCGACCTCGTTCGGTAATGTCGCCGATATACGCGGCTCTTACGAGAGCCGACGCGGTGTTTCTCACGAATGTCGTTCAGATATCAAAATTAGTTGGTTTCCATATCTGTTGTAATACACGTGCACGCGCGCTGCTCGTCGGTTTTTCCCGATTATTCGAAGAGAATAAAGCTGCGCCGGGCATTCAAATTTCACATCGATATTAGAGTTATCGAATCACCAAACGAATAGGAAGCTCTCGTGGCGAAATAATATGTGTAAAACGGACTTTTGCGGAGAAAATTTTATGTTACGTTGTGAGTGTAATAATTACAGTCGTATGCGAAATACAGGTAACATAACAAAAGTCAGTCTCTAATTATTAATTGTAATTTAATTAACGTGAAAAAGCATCGCGTGGACATTCAATAACATATTTGTCGAAACAAAGGACATATAATTTTCGTAACACGATACCATTGGATACTCGCTAAAAGCCGTGTGCAACATGGATGACAAAGAAAAATATTACAAGCTATCTATAAACTATAAACATCGTGACAAAGACATAACATTGTTATCCCTTCAGGGGGTACGTCTTCAAACAGCATCCTCTTCCGTGTGTAAATATTAATATATCCGACTACAACACATAGAGACGCTGTATAATTGCATAAATGTTTCATTGCGTCTAAATATTGTCGGTGAGACTCTTGTCTTTACACTGGAATTATATACGTCGTCGAGTGTAACTGACCCCGTGCACTCCTTGTGCACTACAACATCATCGATCGTCTTTGACGATCCTCTCTTTTATCATGGCTTTACATTGAGACAAAGAATAAAAGAATTAGAATAAACAGAATTATAGAACAAAAGGATTAAAGAAATACTTACCTTTCTCGAGAAAAGACGATGCAATAAGTAAAAACGAAACCGTAAATGTCTTCCCTGTCAATTTGCCGTGGAAGTGAATTAATGTTCGTCCATCTAGCGTCGAAGGTCTAAAATACAATCTTTTCTACTGTCGTATGCAATACTTGGCTGCACGGTATATCGCACGTGTGTCGTCCGTTCTATTCCGCTGTAGTGCATTGTGTCTCGTCGCCGAGCTGCTTTCTCCTACGGAGAGAATGAAATTTCGTTCCAATTGCGCGGGTTGCGAACGAAGCAATATGGTAACCTCGGGAGATGCGTTAAAAGCCATCCACACTGGTGGGATTATTTTCTTCGTTGTCAGATAGCGGTTAATAAAATGATTGTGCACGTGTTCTGGAAAACGTACGAATATTATACTGACGTTGTGAAACATCACCGTCTCATGATAAAAGGGGTGAGGGTTGATATATAGGGTGTCTGAACGTCAACATGCAACTTTCTCTTGAGCGTGGATTTCTCGGAAGTTGGAAATAATTTTTTACCCCGAAGATTTTATTTCACAGCTCGACATTTCTTTTCGTGTCGCTTCTCGCGTCGCTTTAATTTACACGCGTCGGCTTGAAAATTCGCCCTGTTAAATATTAAAAAGAGCAACTCGATCCCTTGAGTTTAAATAAAAAAAAAATATTTTGTATTATTTTTAACTTTCACGAGTGTCAAAATGTAAATCAATCCATTTCCATTAAAAAGTAAATAACGTCTATGTCAATGCATTTAATAAATAATAAACTCAATTTGAATCAAATTTAATACATTTTCTTAAATTAAATATTTTAATCCCATCATTTTTTAAATAAACGATATATTGAGCAGTAGCGACCTATAGAAATAATTAAAAATAACTCGAATTGAGTACAATTTCAGTACAATTTTAATATGTATTTAACAGTGTATGAGAGAACGTATCACTCTCGGTTGTGATCGATACGATTACATTTCATAATCCGCGGTATCTTAATACTCATGTTTACTGATGCTTACGTGAATACGAAACAAACGCAGCATGATTCTCGTAGGTGAAGGTAAAGCCGATATAAAAACAGGACTTCATTGCATATTTAAGGTAGAGATATAGGTAGCCATATGCTTCCCGTGTCTCGCATTGCACACATACACACACGCACACACGTTACGTACTGCTATTAAACGAATAAAACGCAGAAGCAGACAATTCAAACAAGGAGAGTGGCCATTCTTGAATATCGTGGTGTTTGCAGGAGAATTTTGAGTCCTTCATATCTTTCAATAATACGGATGGAAAAGTAAAACTACATCGTAAACGTAAAAGCATGGGAACAAACGGGCGTGCTCGCGGCAACGAGATCGACGGTAGCAAAAGCCCAGCTTTACGCTGTCGGGAGGGGTTAAGAGCAAGAATAAACGTCGTTGAGGCTTGAACACGGTTGCATAGTGCAACGTAAACGTAGTCATTGAATGAGCGCAGCGTCCTGAGGCGATGATCTACACAGAGGCAATAACTAAAAAATTCGCATTTTTCCGTCACCGTATCGTTGAGTCGTTAACCCCTCTGGCATATATACCGTTATATTAGCGCGCTCTAGTTTCTCCGTACTCTTTTCCGATTTCTTCATCTTTTTATAAACGGTAAAGAACCAGACAAGAGTTGATCGAATTAAGTTTGAAAAACTTAATGTGAAATTGATTCTGCCGAAAGTTAAATTCGATTCAATTTTGATTAATGAATGCCTTTTAATTTTAGACATTAAATCATTTGAAATCTCTCATGTCAAATCATACCGTTATGTGTTCAATATTCTGACTAAGATTATATCGTGATCTCTTGAAATAAATAATATTTAATAATTTTTTAGAAACATTAGTTACTAAAACTTAATCTAATATTTTTATTTTTATAAATTATTTTATCATAATTTAGTTAGCACATACAGGGTTGGCCATATTCGACGGAAAGATGTTTTTTTTTTTTTCAATCATGGGAAACGTCGTTACTCGATCTAACATCTCTGTCAAAAGTTACAGTGTTGCCCAGATCTTTCCGTCGAATATGGCCAACCCTGTATATATTTAATAATTATATGCGAGATAAGAAATGAGATTATATCGTTGTAATTTAATTAGATTTGAGAAACATTAATTAATAAATCCTAATTTAGTATTTTTGTTTTCATACTCTCTACATCTGAAGCAGTGGATAATCACTGATATCAGTGCCAAGTATGCCATTTGGTAATCAGTGAATTAAATATGAGATTCTTAATCTAATCTTAAGCTAATCTTTATTATATGACCTAATTAATCTTGTTTCAATGTTTAAATTCAATGAATATGATATTGGAAGATTGAAACATATACGTTAACATGCAAATATCGATATTTTTAGTTATATAATGCTCAAATATTCTTCCTTTTAGTTGAACTTCACTGATTATCAGTGCCAAGTATACCACTGGGTAATTAGTGACTATTCACTGATTCAGATTTAGAGTAAATTAAGATTGTCTCGTGATTTAGTTTAGCGCATATCTCTTATATTTAATAATGTAGGAGACAGGAAATAAGATTATATTATTGTAATTTAACTAACAATTCTACATTTCTTGAATTTTTATTAACGTTATGAGAATAAAAAAATTAATTATTAAAATTTAATTTCTAATATTTATTATTCATTGAAAGACAATAAAGTACATATCGTTCTATGAGACACCCTGTATGTCTGTCAAGGTGTCTTTCATTTTTACGCTGTCTTTCTCTTCCGGGTATTCTCGGGGTTTCTGGCAATACTGCGGAATAGCATTGCATTGCCAACCATGGCGACGATGCAGTAAACCGACCCAAAGATCAGCCTCTCGACGAAGTCTGGGCCAATTGGGTCGCGGATAATTTCATAAACAAACAATAGCTGTGCTGGCGGAAAATGCGAAAAGCCAGAGACAGTCGTGCGGAGGCGAGAGCGCGTCCTGGATACCAAAGGCACTGCACTTCGTTCAAAAAGAAGAAAGAAAAAATTCACTCTACGTGGCCTTAACACCCGCTGAAAAAGATGTTTACTGTTACAATCATATTTGACAAAGTTCAGACGAGTTAGAAGAAAGTTAAAATATTGTACATAAAAATATCTTTAGATACGATCTCTTATTTATTTTTTGCATTCGAAAATTAATTAATTATATGTAAGTTAAAAATATAATAAGATAAAAATTGCGAATGTACGTTAACAATCAGTTAAATACGTTCTGCTGATAGATTCAATTTTATCAAAATTAATTAATTATGAAAGTGGAAATATATATTTATTCTTGAAGCAAATATTGTTTTTGAAATCTTATGAAAATCATTCTTGCTGTAATTGAATTATAGCATTGTTTTAAGAATGCAAAATAGATTGCTTGTTTTTCAAACAATCAGGGGAACCGAAGAAGTGAGCTGAACTTGTTCCCGATGTTGCTCGATTGGGTGAAGGAAAATATTGCCATAAACTCGAAGATGTCCTCGCAGATGATTCTATTTGTATATCTAGGTCACGAATAAACAAACGCGTAAAACAAAACGTAGCGGTATTTATAGTATCGAAGAATGATCAGTGCGCCGTCAATCCATTCACAATAACAGGATCGCTTTCCTCGTGCTTCGCAATTACGTACGCGTTGACCGTGCCAGTGAATATATCGACAAGCGATGACGCGTTTCGATTCGTTGGGACCAAAATAAACGATTAAAAAAAAAAAAAACAAGCGTAATCGGTAACTTGTCGAGTACATTTAGCAGAATTCGCGAACGCTTTTTAAAGCACGTGCCGATAGTGTCGTCTCGTACACAATATTGCTTAAATCTTTTTCTATCGTTTGAAAGGGACATCAGGGATATACCTCGTTTATTGATTGAAATAAATTTTATACGGTGGTCCAAGCGAAGATATAGTTTCATGTGATTAGAACGATGCGATCGAGAACTGTGTATCACCCTGTGCATGCGATCCCGCACGCGAATTAATACCGGCCAACGACGAAACAACCCTCTCTCGCTTTCACCGTCGTTATCCGCTGTCAGCTCACCCCGTAACTTTATTACGACCGTAATAAAGTTGTACGCCGCTAGGCTATCGTTCGTATTAAACCGCGCATCGCGGACGGAATCGATGGGCGCGCGATTTCCATCGGTCTCGCAGTGCGGCTCGCCTCGCTAATACGATTGTCAGCCGGGATTCAGATGAAATTGGAAGGTGTGGAAGATACGATCGCACGGTAATTACCGGGCAACACAGTGTCGCACTCGTACCTGGCTCTTTATCCGAACGATCCCGGATAATTTGCCGCTAGAAAGAATCGAAAAACGCTGCCAGATAGCACAGTAATTATCGACCCTGAAACTTTCGTCGTTCGTATACGCAAACGTGCTTAAATAAATGGGGTTACTATTCAAACGTAACTTTCAGAGCGGCACAGATGGAAGTAACGTGATTCTAGGATAAAATTAATTTTTGATCGAAGAGCTCGAGAGTAGGCTAGAACGATTTAATTAATTATATTTATGACTTTCTACTGATTTGTGTTAATTTATTATTGTGTGAATTTACTTTCTGCGTATGCTGTTTTATTTATTTATTATTTTACATTTTTGCGAATTCCTACGCAATTTATATATTTTTATTTTTTTTTCAATTTTTTATCATTTTGTTTACACTGTAGGATGCAAATTCTGTAGCAAATTCGAGCCGGTCGTTCAGCTAATAATTACTCGTTCTAATGAAAGGATATACGTTAGAGCCGCTTATTCTCCCCGTTTTTAACTCTCACTGAGAACATTTTTTCTACTAGATAGGATTTTTATTAACATATACAATTCTTGAAGTGATTATAAATCTAATCAAATGTTTGAATTATCAAATGTCAGATTAATCCAGTCAAATTTTCGAAATTCAAAATAATGGATCCGATATAATCGACAAGTGTTTTTATATCAGTGATTATTTTCACTAAACTTGTATTTTTGAAAGTTTTCTCGCTGATTATTAAAAAGTCATAAAAAAGTAATTTGTGATAAAAAAGAAATTTTTTTAATCTATGTAATGGATTAAGTGTCACATTTATTCGCTCGCGTTCATTGCCATTTCGTATCGGATTCGAATCAGAATACTTCCTCGGCATCATCGTCTTTTGCCGAAAGAATCATACCGGCACTCTTTCATGGATCATCTAGCG